CCCCCGCCTCGCCTCCGCTCCGGCAGCTCCGATATTGTATTCTTGATTAGATGGTTCCTCCAACGGGAAGCAGGGGGAAAGACGGGATTTGCTCGTCCCGGTGCTGTTTCCTCCAGGTTCCCTCTGGAATCGCTGCCCTCTGTCATTCTGTACTCTCCCACACAGTGCAAAAACCCACGGTGGCGGGGAGTGATTTAACAATAATATTTCCTAAAAGGACTAAAATATATATTACATGTAAAAACGAGGGGTCGTGGGGAATTTGAATATTTTTTGAATGGATTTTTGGCTTTACCAATTTTACTAAAGTATTGTGATGTTTGAGAGTTCGATTTCATTTACGCAATGTTAGTGGACCCATCTTTCTTATGCTTGGACGGGAAGTGCAACTGGTAACTGCATGTAATACGTCTCCACCTTGCGCACTTGCAGTTTTGTAGGGGGAAAGGAACATATAAGTAATATGTTCCAGAAATCAGAGACTCGTAACGCTGCCCGCGCATAAGTGCGAGTGTGGTGGTGGCTGCCATCACCCTTAACCGGCGCTCACAGTTAAATCGGAGGCATCGGTAGCAAATTGCGCTCACCTCAGCTTGACCCGATCCCTATGAGGACAGCGTCGAGGTCAGAGGTCGGGCGGGACCAACCTCGGCGAGGCCCGACCCGGCGCGCCCTCCAGCAGCTCCAGTGCCGCCGCGCGGGGCGGGGCCCTGCGCCCTGCTCCATATGGATGCGGCCGGAGATCAGGGCGGGATCACCTCAGCTCAGTACCGCCGCTCCCGCCCACAACCGCGTCTGTGTGGCGCCCCGGACCAGCAGTACCTGGCAGGGACTGTCTCTTGTCTTCGTCTCTGCTCTGGAAACTTGGGTGTGAGACAGTCTCACACCGAATGGTGTGAGGCAAAATACCTCACACCAAATGGTGTGACACCCTCTGTGCCTCACACCATTTGGTATGAGGAAGTATCACTCCATTTGCTGTTAGGCACAACGAGTCTCACACCATTTGGTGTGAGGCACAACGAGTCTCACACCGTTTGGTGTGAGGTGTTTTGCCTCGCACCATTTGGTGTGAGACTGTCTCACACCTGAGTTTCCAGAGTGACTCCGTCTCTTACTCATAACCTAACTCTCTCACTGTCTCTGCCTGCCTCTGCCTCTGACTGTCTCTCTGACTTTGACTGTCTCTCTCTCTGGACACTGTTTCTGTTCGCTCTCTCTTCTAGTGAAGGCCGGTAGAGACGCGCGACATCACCACCGGCACCTCCTCAACGGCGGGGTCGTGGGTCGCGCCCCGCGCGGCCGCCGTGCCGACCAGTCGGAGGCAAAAGAAGAAAGGAAAACGGAGAATAAAAGAGCCATCTCTGGCGGTGCCCTGCCCTGGCGGCAGTAAAAGATGACAGCCTGGGGCGCCATATTGAGGGACCGGAGCGGGGGCTGAAGTGTGTAAATAAAAAACCTGGGGCGAGAAGAGGAGCAGGGAGGGGGAGGAGCGGGGAGGAGGGAAGGGAGGAGTGGGGAGGCAGAGGGGTTGATTGGGCTGCAAGAAGAGCGGGAGGTGTAGCAGTAAGGGGGACCGGGAGGTAAACAGGATATAAGAGAGTTCTGGTCTCGAGGTAATTGGAAGTCGGTTTTCACCTTTAGAAAGACTTAAATGCAGGGCTTTCCGTGGGATCTGTCTCATCCCCCGCCGCGCCGCGCTCGCACCGCGCGCACTCCCGCGGCCCGTCACAGCGAGAGCCGAGAGGAGGAGAGCGCTCTGCTGACTGGCCATAAATTTCATAGGTGAGGGTGAATTCACTCAGTGCGGTGGCGAAAGGGGCGTGGGCGGCTGCTGTGGTAGGGGCGGGTGGGGCCTCTCTCAACCCCCAAGGTGGGGGCGAGGGCACAGGCGGGGTCGGTCCCCGGTGGCAGCTCCTTGAACCCAGCTTCCGCGCCTGCCTTCAGAAATCCCCGCTCATATCACGGAGAAAGACATGAAAATCCCGTGGGGGCGCTGCAACCCCCGCACAAGGCCCCCGGGGGTAGAGACGAGCGCGCCTCAGCCTGGCCTTGAGTGCGCACTGCCGGTGGTGGATATCTCTGAACCTGCAAATGTGTCTGGCCGTGTCTCGAGAAAGGGGCAGGAGGGGAGTAGTGGGGATGTGCGAACTCGTGATAATAATAACGATAATAAAGCGGGTCACCCATGGGGTCTCCTATTCGATCGGCCTCTCCCACGCAAGACGAACGGAACCGTAGTTGGCGATTGTTGTCGGATATCCTCCTGGTCCATCGGGCAATCACCATGTTATTGAATAAATTGAGGCCGCGCTGCCCTTCCGCTCCCCTCTGCGCGGCCCGCTCCCCCCTCCCCCACCCCCTCCCCTGCCGCGCGGCCGCGCACCCCTCTGTGTAAACACTGCACGGCTTGTAATGCGATTCAATCCGCTGGCTTACCAGCCACGCCCTCGTGCTCACCTCCTCCCCTCTTCGCGCCCGGCCCCGCTCCAGCCCCGGCCCCAGCCACGCTCCAGCCCTTAAAAGTCATCCGGTCACTAAATGATATTATTTCACCCGCCCGGTTGTCTGCGCTCGCCGGCGCCTGTGCCCGACGACACCGGTGTCGGTGCGAGAAACCCATTTTTTTAGCGAATGCGTCCGTTGGTTGACGTCGATCGATGCCGAAACGACGGTGTCCTATACGATACTTCAGGACTGCTTCGCTTATCTCCAATATGAGACGTCATAACTCCTCTCTGTC